TTCATCACATCATGTAGTCTTTGTCATGGTCCTCCACTGTAAAGTTACTCTTCTCCCTATTTCTATACCATGTTTCTTTGAAAGGAAGTCACTATACACAGCCCACACTTAAGGAGGGGAAAGTTACACTCCACCTCCTTGAAGGTGGAATATCTACACAAATTATTTAAAATTCTTCTACACTGGAGATTGAGTGTGGACTAATTTTAACAGGGATCACACCCCTTCATTTTAATTAGAAATTGCTGATCACCAGTAGAAGGTGTAATGTTACATCACGGACTTCCACATAGTCGACCACAGTTCAAGTCCCAAACTCATGCTAGGGGGAACAAGCAGTTAGCGTAATGGCTGTGTCGCTGGACTCCTACGTAGTCGACCACAGTTTGCATCAGGGACCCAGTGGCTTAAAACTCACTCCGGGCGCGTGTGCGTGCATGCCCAAGATCCCGAGAGGAGAATGGAGGAGAAGGGATTGCAGCGTGGCCATCCCCCCATGGGGGGGGGTGATTTCTTGCTTTCTGTCTCTATGTCTCTGTCTGTCTGGCAAGCGCACGTGCCCTATAGTGAAAACCTCTCAAAAAAATAAATAAATAAAAAATAAAAAACTCATGCTAGGCACATGTGCATGCATGCCCAAAATCCTGAGAGCAGATGGAGAGGAGACTATAGAGTGGCCATCCCCCGGGGGGTGATTTCTTGCCTTCTCTCTGTCTCTGTCTCTCTGGCAAGCACACGTGTCCTGTAGTCAAAAAAAAAAAAAAAATCACTCTAAGGAAAAAATAAATAAATAAACTACTAATCACTTCAAAAAATAAGCAAGAATAAATAACATAGGGCCTCAAAAACAGCGCCTGTCTTTGAGTCAATCTTGCAAGATGAGCTAAGGAAAATTTACCCAGAACAGTCCCTGGTCCACTCTCCCTCCTGTCAACAACAGCAACTCAGAGCTATCTTTCTTTCTTTTCGTGGGGCAGGCAATCTTGGGAACACACAATATAACTACGAAGACCAGTTGTAGGCTGTTCTCTGTAGCACTTTAGTTATCTAAGAGATTACTGTGTTGTAAGCACTGAGATCCAGAGTTACTGGGATAAGTTTAAAATCAATCATTTTTATTAAGTCAGTAGACTCTCACCTGTGTATCACAGTATACAAGATTTCGGTGATATTCTTTCCCTAATGCTCAAACACTATTCTTTATTTCTCAGGCTGGTTGTTTTCCAAGAGGTTAAGGACATGGATGTTTTAAAGATAAGATCTTACTACCAGTTAAGCAGGCATTTGTGAACAGTGCCAAAAAAGCATTAAGTTCCAGAACAACTAATAGTGGTGCCTAATATAATCCCTGGCACATGGTAGTATTCAAACGTTTGCTGAATGATGAACAAATAAGTTCTAAGAAGTAGAGGGAACAAGCAGTTGTCTGCAATGGTATGTAGTATTCAAATAGCACTGGATCAATCTTTTTTTTTTTTGAGAGAGAGATTTTTTTGCTATAGGGCATGTGTGCTCGCCAGACAGACAGAGAGAGACATAGAGACAGAAAACGAGAAATCACCCCCCAGGAGGGATGGTCACGCCGCAATCCCTTCTCCTCCAGTCTCCTCTGGGGATCTTGGGCATGCACGCACACGCGCCCGGCGTGAGTTTTAAGCCACTGGGTCCGGGACGCGCACCACGGTCGACTACGTGGGAGTCCAGTGACATACCCATTACGCTGCTAGTTCCTAACACTGGATCAATCTTTAGGGCCTGTGTGCTTTGCAATCTTTCTTCAGAGACAGGCAACATTTTCCAAACAAATGAAAGCAGTTAAACTGCAGAGGCTGTACATATTAATGTTACTTAATGTAAAAAGACATTAGAGAAGCACTGCAACTCATACTAGACATTTAATAAATCCTTGCTAAATTAAGAGCAGCCCTACAGATAACAAGTAAAGCAGGTTAGCTAAGAAACCATAAAAGAAGTTAGTAAGAAAGTTGGGGGGGGGGTTTGACAGGTGGCGTGGTAGTTGGGGGCACTGGACTCCCACATGGCCAAGCACGGTTTGAGTCCCTGACTTGGCAGCTTGCTTTCTCACTTTCCTTGTCTCTCTCTGGTCAAATAAAAACAAACAAATAAGTAATAATGATGATCAATAAAATTAAATTTAAAAAAAATTTTAAGTTGTATAAGATCTTTTGAGCATGCTAAAAACTACCTAGTATATAATTTGAACCTACTTTGTTCAAAAAAGTCTTTGTTTACCTAGTACAGGAAGCTCAAAGTTGTGTTGAAAAGAATGAAGAAACAATCAAATGAAAAATCATCTGACTATGCTGAGACAAGGATATTAACAACATATTACATTTTGGGTATACAGCTGGATCCCCAAGAGTACTAAGTAATTCCCTAGCTCATCTCATTATTATGAACCACAGCAGCAGCATGACACAGTCTGAACCCAAACTAGCTGAGTTCAAATTCTAGGTCTAGCTGGAATGGCTACTGGCTTGAGAAGATTACTTTACTTTCTATGCCTCAGTTTCATCATCTGTAAAATGTAAAAAGAATCACAAATCCTACCTCATAAGGTTGTTATGAGAATTAAGAAAATATTTATAATGTATAAAATTAGTTCAATATCTAGGAAATCTAGTTCATTAAATTTGCCAAATAGCTACAGAAGCTTTCTTTATGTCACTATTTTAAAATAGCCATCTAAAATAATAAAACTACTATGATATTAAACACTAAGGACAAAAACCACGTCAAGGACAAACATCCTCTGTAAGAGAATGGGCTTTGAAAATTGATAATGGTTCTTCTTGATTCTTAACTGAATCAATACTTAAGAAAATATATTTAAATCAAGAATAAGGTATAGTTAGTCTCTTTTGGACATTTTTAGGTTTGTGAGATTTTAAATTCTTTCTCCACAGGTTTGTTAGATTTTATGTTTTAATTTTTTCTCCTGTGTTATGAATCTATTATGATATTTATTCTGAATATGTATTAAAAATATAGAATAAAAAGGTACTTCTTAGAAACATACATTATTTGTACCAAAGTTACAGGCAGGTTAATAACTATTTCATTCTACACTAAATTGTGCAATGATTATACCTAAATGCTATTTCAGAAAATTAAGAGAGCCATAGTTGTGTGGATGGGAGGAAAAAATAACACTTCACATGTGAAAACAACTGAATTCATAATAAAATGCATTTTAATACATCTACATGTATAGTTTCAATATAAAAGCACAGAGCTCTCTATTGCTAGAGGAGAAAAGTGCCCGGATCCTTTCAGGACTCTGGGTCTTTCGGGTGAGACACAAATCAAGGTGAGGGAAGAAGGAAGAAAATCCCTTGGATCCCTGCAGGATTAATTATTCAAAAAGTAAATAATAAAAAATAGAATACATGCAAAAATCTTGTGAAGAAGGTGAAGAAAAAAACCACAGAACATGCCCAAGGTAAAGAAAGACCGCCCTTTGGAAAATGTACCACAAGAGGCAGAAGGAAGCCCTCAGCCTTCTGAAGAAGGTATAAACCAGGAAACCAGAAGGAAACCTTACAGCAGGGCCAACTCAGCCCAGCCAGGGATTGAAAGAGGACACTCCCATTAGGTATTTTGACCCTGAAGAAATGATGAGAGGAGTAGACGAGTTGGAAAGGCTTAGGGAAGAGATAAGAAGAGTAAGAAACACATTCGTGATGATGTATTGGAAGCAAAGACATTCACGCAGCCATCCTTTATCCAGTGTGCTTTAGGCCTTGAGTTCTTTTTTGTCTGATACTAAAATCTGGCCCCTGCTTTCTTTCTGTTAGCATTTTCCAATGTATCTTTGACCTTAATTTTACTTTTAATCATCAAGTGGAATTTTGTTTTAGGTAGTTTCCTTGTTACCAGCAACTTGTTGGATTTTGGACTTTGGCCCATTTTCCAGGTCTATTTTTTCAATTGAGAAGTTTCACACCTATGCATGGAAATATATTCATTCCATAATGTAATGTAAAACATAATAGATTATGAAGCAACATATTTAGTATCAGCTCACATATGTAGGATAAAATTCCAAATTGTGTGTGTCTACATATATACATATTTCAAAAACTTAACCATGTTTAATTTCTGTGTGGTTTGAAGTTTCTTTTCCTCTTTTTTTTTTAACTTTCCACTTATGTATTTTTAAATGAACACAGATCACACACAAAAAGGGATTTTTTTAACAATTAAAATAATTTGCAACCAGGTTATAAGGGCAATGGGGGCACCTAACCTCTTGACGAAAGAACTATAAAAAAGAATTGTAAATCTCAAATTACCTCTGACTCTCTTAGCCAGAGGAATAAAACTGGCAATTATCACAGTTAAATAAATAAATAAATAAATAAAAGCACATATTTACTCAAAAGCATTCTGGACTGTGTGGGTTTTTTTTTTTTTTTTTTTTTTTTTTTTAGGGGTTTTTCTCATAGGGGGCGTGCGCTCGCCAGAGAGACAGCGAGAAATGGCCATGCTGCAATCCCTCCTCCTCTCAGGATCTTGGGCACGCACGCACACCCACCCAACATGAGTTTTAAGCCTCCGGGTCCGGGACTCAAACCGCGGTCGACTATGTGGGAGTCCAGTGACATAGCCATTATGCTAACTGCTGGTACCTGGACTGTGTTTTTCAACTAAGAACTATAAAAAATTTAACTGAAATAACTAAAACTGACACTGAAAAGATCTAACTAGCATTTCCAAAGTTTCATTTATGTACTACTGTCTTCTTCCTTCATGATCTCTCTCCACTGTCAATATACAGGTTCTACTTACAATTTCTATATCTTTTCCATTCAAATACTATCCAATAAACTTAAAATATATGTATTGTAAAAACTAGGGTTGTCAGAAGACAACCCTAAAAAATCCCTTCTGGTCCTTAGTAATGAAGCATCAACCATCCTTAACATTTTTTACAAACAAATCAGGTTATAAAATATATTTTGACAGCAGAGGGGTTTTACTTGTTCTATATCTGTCTAAAGATTGCCGTGCTACTAGGCAGTGTAATTTTTTTCTCTCTTTCCTTTTTCCCCTGCAGTGCTTCTAAGTATAGTGACAGCAGCATCAGGCTTTCCTAGTCTCAGCGCAAGCTCAGTGAAAATCTGGGAAATGTAAGTGGTAACATGAGAGACTGCTTTATTTGGCAGTGCTTTTAAAAAAAAAAAAAAGAAGAAGAAGAAGATAGGACAAATGGCAAAGTAGTGTTTGGACTGCAGGATGAACAATCAATAGGCAGAAAGCAAGATAGAGGCTTTCTCTGCTTTTGGATCGACAATCGACAGCTGAGAGACTATTTTTTGCTATGGTTGACTAAATATGGTCAGGGAAGAGAGAGGCACAAGAGAGCCTGTTTGCCTGGGAGTGCATGTTTCAAATGCTTAGCTGTCTATAAAGCTGTAACAGTTTAGCCTGTGATCACTGAGGGAAGAATATAAGTTAGCCTCTCTAGTGACCATGTGGAAGTCCTGACCTCGCTTGCAGACTTGACTTCTGGATATGACAAGGTAGCTCCACTACAGATCTACCATTTAATCCTGGAAACTAAAAACCAAACAATTCTCAAAGCCAAGAAAGAGGCAGAATATTTCCTGGGAAGTCAGAAGAACCCAATGTATTCTGGTGGGCAAAAGAAAACGGGGTAGATATTTATAGTTACTTGGGGGGAGTGAGGTGTATTTTGGGGTTTTTTTTTTTTTCTGCCTTTTTTAGATTATAAAACTAACTTCCTCTGCAACTTTTCCCCCTCTTCTGAAGCATTTCATCTGACAAGTATGCTAGTTGTTTTCTTGGCCATTGCAGCCACCTTCTTTGGTTGCTTAACTTT